ACAGTTAAGAGCGTTGCCATTCACCTGACCCCACACTATCAACGTAGATGCTGAACAACAGGCTGCGGAACCTGTGACCCTTGAGATGTTTCTGGACTACAGCTCCTCTCATTAATGATCATTGGCTATCCTGGCTGGAACTGATGGGGGTTGGAGTCCATCAACAGCTGCAAGGCCACTGTCCATCCCTGGTCTACAATGTCAATACAGTCATGCATGTGCAGCAGCTGTGGTGAATGTAGCATTCAGCCACAGTTACCACTCACTGGCAAGTGTCATGGACAGAAGCTGGGGCAATTGTGACTTAACCATGGAAGCATGCAGCAGCTGAGTAGACAACAGCCCACAGCACAACCACTTCCTTCCAGCAACACCTGCTATAATAATAATAATAATAATAATAATAATAATAATAATAATAATAATAAAAATAATAATAATAATAAAAATAAAATTTTATTTATATCCCGCCTTCCCCAGCCGAAGCTGGGCTCAGGGCGGCTAACAACAATCAAAATAATCCAACATTCTAAAAACATTCATTATAAAATTAATTAAGGACATGAAGTCCCTGTTCATTTTAGCCATCATGCAGAAGAACACATTCTGCCCCGCTTGGACGACCAATAACTCTGCTACACCTAGTAGCTGCTCTACTAGTAAGCATGCTTTGAAATGGCATGCATTCCCTATGATCTCCGATTGTCAGCACAAAAACATCTATGACTAAAATATACTTGGAGTCAAGAGTGGATTTCATGCTCTTTATTCAGCTCCGGGATTCACCTGTAGGCCAATCAGGTTGCGGATTCACTTCCACCTGGAGCTGGATTGGGTGGCTCCTGTGGACCAATCAGACTGCTGCATTCTGAATCCTATTGTTCTAGGACCAATCAGACTGCTGCATTCTGAATCCTATTGTTCTAGGACTAATCAGACTGTTGCCTTTGGATCCTATTCAACTCAGTACATAAAAATGACCTTTTGTCACATGCATTACAGGACACAAAGTCTAATCCAAAGATGGGCATGCAAGCACCTCACTGGTTCCAGGGAGCCTTATTCTATACTAGGCTTCCTCGAGATGACTAAATCTGTGCAAATTTCAATGGAGGACTGAAACTCAGAATTTCCCAATGGATTGTGCCAGGTCTCACTAGCACACGCACCCATTTATCGATCCTCTGCCACATTGCACAGCTTGTGTGGCCAGCATGCTTACCCACCTGTCCAATTTCAGTTTGTGGGCCAGCATCCTCCAGTCATGACCTCTTGTCTGAGGCGCATCTAGGCTGCTGCAAAGCTTCTGTCGGATTGGGAGGGGGATACTGAATGCACAAGGTCCTACTACGGTGGTGATGGTGTTTGCTGGGTCCATGAGTGGATATTCAATGCCAGTAGGTTCCTGCATTTTAGAGAAGAGGAGAAGAGGATACGGCAGCATTATTAGCAGAGGAAATAAACTTATTATCTACAGAGAAGCAATCTGTGAAGCATAGTTTCCTGGATAAAAAAGGGGAGGAGTAAAACTATGTACACCATCTTGAGCTCCTCAGAGCAAAAGTGGAATACAAATATATATAAAAAAGAAGGAATAAATATTACTGAAGAACACAGATGAAAGCTCTTTGCAAGCCACTTTGGATGGGTTTTTAGTGGGAAAACAACCTATTTTTTAAAAAATGCACATAAAACATAAAACTTCTTATGCTTAGGCAAGCCATTCATTTAGTTCATTATTGACTATACCACCTATCATCCTTAACTTAGGGATGCACTGCTCTCTATTACATCAGAGAAAACTGCTACATGTTGCTTCACACTAGTTTTGTAAAATGTCTTTTTCAAATAGGCAAAAGCCTAATGGCCTAAATATTGTATGTTCCAGATGCTGCCTGTCTTTAGACAAAATTGGCGAGAGCTCTGCAGGTGATTGTCAACTGTATAAATCCACAAAGAAAGATATACGTTTTGAACGATCCTGTTAAAAATAAAACTACTTTCTGCAAGAAGAAATGTCACAGTAGAGGAGGCGCTTCAGAGCCATTGGGCAAACCATACTGACAAACCGAAAAAAGGCAAATAATAATGGATACACATCGTTGGGCAGCCTGATAAAACTGGGGTTGCCCTCCTTTGCAGCACACCACATCTGTAGTATTCTAAATCAATTCACAAAGCATGATTACCCTGATTTGCAGATGGGGAAATGGAGGTCAAAACACGTCCAAGAAAACATAAACAACTCAGTAGCAGAACTAACACTCTGACCTCTGCCTTACTCCCCCCCCCCGCAGATCCGCACATTTCCCCCTCTGCATTCACTATTGAATGAAATTATATGAAATAGTGCCTATCTCCTTCGAAGAAAAGGTTGACAGTCAGAGATAGACATATATTGTTAAAACCTGCATTAAAGCTACACACACACTCACCCCCTCCTAAACTGTGTGACATTTAAAGTGGATGGGAAGAATAAAAACGTATCATTTCAGGATCTTTCATCTGCAGCGGAAGAAAGGAAATTAATTTGGCCATCACATCAGCCAACTGGAAAAGTAAAGCAAGCCTTGTCTATGAACAACTAAAACAATAAAAAGACCCACTTTAAATGTCAATTTCTTTGTATTTCCACTAGCTGCCTTCCCAGCTATAAGGTAACTGGCTCTCCACAATGCATTGCCACAAATAGAACCACTTTAAAATCACACCATTTTCCAGGGCTTAAATAGAACTCACCATAACAAGAAAATGCAGGGTGCAAAGTTATTCAAGTTAGCATAGATGGTGGTAAGCGTTTTTTTCAGAAGCTTCATCTTAAATATAATTTCACCTGTTCTATACACTGGGGATGTCGGGGAAGGTCACTGAAGCCAAGCTCAGATGAGAACTTCAGGGACTCATAAAAATATGCTTCAAATAAGAGGTGAGTTTCTAAAAGCCTCAAATTCCTCTTCCACTCAGATTGAAATCAAAGAATTACTGCCTTCTCTGGCTGACGAATGCTTTGCACAAGCATCTTAATGCTGGACCAATGCAATTTAGCAGAGTTAGGCTATTCCATTCCATTCCATTCCATACAACTGATTTTAAGAGATGGCAAGTTTGGATAAAATTCTGATGACCCATGGATGACACATAAGAGGAGTGACTTTTCCCCCATAAGAACAAATCCCCCATAAGAACAAATCATTCCATTAATTCCAATGGGGTGGAGAAAAATAAATGATGGGGGGGGGGGATTGGGGGGGTATGGGCCAAAGATCACCCACAGATGGCAACTTTTGGCCCACATCCTCCAATTTTGGTCTGTAGTGTTTTTCACTGTCCCCATATGATCTAATGGCGCTATTCATTCCTATGAGGGTTTATTTCTTCTGCTTTATTTCAGAGAAAGTAAGTTTAAGGAGCTCAGCTACCTGTACTACATACCTACGGAAATGTGCAGCAGAATCTGTTAGATATTTGTTCCTTGTAATCCACTGTGCTGCACGTGCCTGGGAAACCCAGCCAGATGGGCAGGGTATAAATATATTGTTATTATTATTATTATTATTATTATTATTATTATTATTTAGACACTGACACTCTTGAAGGAGGAAACCCAGGTATATTTGACAGAGATGAGGACAAACATGCAGGAATGCAAAGACAGGAAATTTTTGCCAAAATTTTTGCCTTTAGAAGTCTTATACTAAAGGAGCCTGGCTCTTGCTATTGTCAAACAGCTCTTAACGTGCAAAATTCGTTAGTTCTTGCAAATGTGGCTTACTCACCGCTGCACCTTGTCCTGCAACCTAGCAGTTATTATCGGCCGGCTAGGTATTTAGCAAGATTAACTGTTCCTAGATATAGGAGAGCATTCTCAATGGCTGGTTAAATGTTTTGCCATCAGCAGTTATGGGAGGCTGATTTACCAGGCTGTCTTGGCATCAGAGAGTTTGTCCTTGCGGAAGTGGCTCAGTCGAAACATTAGTCCACATTCTCCTGCACTGTAATTTTTATAGGGACATAAGATCCCATTTTATCTCCCTGGTACTTTCTTTTCACTTGGGGAGCTCAGATGAATTTTATATCTCACTTTTAATGGCAGTTTCCAATCCTAAGATCACAGAAAATATAGCTAAGTTCCTTGCTGTACCCATCAAAACTAGGTCACACTTACTAAGGGTAGATGAGTACTGAGCCAAAATTTTCTCTATTTTTAACCCTGCACTGTGTTTGAAATTTATGGTCTGTAGACCAAATAAACTGAACTTGGGCATCTTCAAAAACGAAAAACAGGGGGAAAGAAAAGGAAGGTGGGAGGGAGGAATAGAGTCATATCAGAAGTTAAACAGGAAAAATATATATGAACCTGGGCTTTCTAAGCCCCTGTATGATTTGTTTAGCTGCATAAGACTTTGTCTTCTATAAGTATAAAATAAACCAGGATGGTGGTGGCTGATTATTTATGCCCATAGCCTCTCCCAAGGCCTTCGCCATGTAATCTCCCCAGTCTTTGACTTATTCACTGCCTTCATGCACTCCAAAACCTACTTGAGATGTGGTAAACAGGGATAGGTCACGCCATGGACCCTGATACACTATACCATCGACTCCTAGGCATTCTTGTCATTACTGTTACCTCCTGGGAGGCTGGATGCTTCTCATTTCCCTTGATAGCTCCACCTGTTTGCTCAGTATGGCCAATCTGTTGAGCCAAGCTGCCAACATTCCTTTCCCATCTCCCAACAAGACTTCACTTACGGGTATCTGTGCTCAAAGTCTGCAGCTAAAACTGTGGCTCCAAAATACAATCATCATTACAGTGGCCTTCAAGAAGACTGCAAATTCCTTGGGCCACCGTGCTTCCTTTTCAAAATAATGCAAAGCCTTCAGTGTGTCCAAGAAACAGGACCCAAAAGAGGGTTATGGAAATAAAAGCAGGTTTGGCTTTTTAATATCTAGAATTACTAAGACAGGGAACAGGTTTAGCTCCAAGTACAAATAATGGAATATTTCATCCAATGTGGGATTCAAACCCACAACCCTGACATTCAGTGTCTTATGCTCTACCAACTGAGCTATAGGGATAAATGGTATAGCTCCCATTAACTCCTATATGGAGAAATAAAATACTGTTCATGGGCTCCGTCACCATGAACGGAAAATGTGCACTCCATCCCTGATACTAGGAAACAAGACTTCACTTACGGGTATCTGTGCTCAAAGTCTGCAGCTAAAACTGTGGCTCCAAAATACAATCATCATTACAGTGGCCTTCAAGAAGACTGCAAATTCCTTGGGCCACCGTGCTTCCTTTTCAAAATAATGCAAAGCAGAAAACCTGGACAATGGATAATGTACCCACATACTTGTCCTGCCACTGTTCCTGCCTTTGCTGCTGGACAGGCAAGTGAAGAGAATACTAACTGGGGCTGCCCCTGGTTAGCTACTGTGATCAGTTCAGATCAGGTGTGTTCAGGGTGGCATTGCCATAGGCAAAACTCTCCCAGAATAAAAGGGTCAGGTCTTACACAGCCCTGGCGTGCAATCACCCATTAAATACATTGCAGCTGTGTTATCCCTGTTCCATAATTCTCTCTGATAGACAGAATCAGAGTACAGGGGAAAAAAATTAATGTTCTTTCCACATTTTGCTGTTACCGGGTCTCATTATGTATAAGCAGATGACATTTGTTACATTCCAGAGTTTCGCTGCTAAAGATAATACCTGCTCTTTTGCTCCTTTGTAATTAGAGATTACTTCAGTACAGTACTTATTGTAATAATTGTTTATGATACTTGTTTTACCATCTGTCTTTAATGTTATGGAGTCCCCAGCTGAATATATAACTTTATACCCAATAACCAAGCAGATGTTACAAGCGATGTTGCAAAATGCAGAATTAAGTAACTTTCAGCTGTCATCTCCTGGCCCTTCAAAAATAATCCAGAAAAAAAATCACTTTCTGGCTGATGAACACTGGATAGTCCCTCAGACAATGGAATAAATGCTTATTCTGCTGCAGAGATGGGGGATCCATGGTCCTCCAGATGTTGTTAAAGTATAACTCCCTTCTTCCCTGACAATTGGCCATGGTGGTTGGGATGGATGGAAGGTAAAATCCAGCAACAGAAGGAGGTGGTCTTACAGGGTTCATGTTCGCCATGTAATAAGCTCCCAGGAAACAGGAATTCAAGATATGCATTTAAAGCAGTATCACACCACTCTAAACAGTCACTGCTTCCCCCCAAATATCCTGGAAACTTTAGTTTGCTAAAGGTGCTGTCAAGAAACCCCTATTCCCCTCACAGGACTATCATTTCCGGAGTGTTTTAACAGTCAACTTCTCTTCCCAGGGAACCCTGGAAATTATAAGTCTGCGAGTGAAATTGGTCTCTTAACCACTCTCAACAGGCTTAACAGGCTACAATTCCCAGGATATTTTGGGGGAAGCTGAATGTATAGTGCATATAACACCTTCGTGTATCAAAGGCAGGTTAGCTTTAAAGGCAGGTCAGAAACTTCAGCTGGTGCAAAATTCAGTGGCCAGATTGCTCACCACAACAAGATGGTTTGCACATATAACACTATTGCACTGGCTCCCAGTTAGTATCCAGGCCCAATTCAAAGTGCTCAGGACCTCAATACTTTAAGGACCACCTCTCCCCACATGAACCAACCTGGGCCCTGCACTTGTCAGCTGAATTACATCAGCTTGGGTAATTCATGATATGTTTCTAATATGGCCCTTAGATGGTTTACTTGCTGCAAAGTGGCATATATCGCATAATAGAGACCTCCTCCCTTATCAATCAGCTCCCAGCCCATCTACTTGTTTATCTATGATGTCAGCTGCTGGCACAAAACCTCATCAGCATTTCATTCCCCTACTCCATTTGGAAGCTCATATTGCTGCATGAACTGTGAAATAAATCGTTCTTTATCCCAGGTCAACTCAAATGAAATCTTTATGCTGCTGCTGCCCTCTTTGAGGAACCATCTCTCCACAAAAGGGGGATTTTCTCCTCCTCATTATTTGTTTCTCTGCCACATCCCACCTCCCTCTTTATCTGCTGGCACTTGTGCACACCAGACGGGCAGCACTCATCAGAGGCATAGCTGGCCCTTCCACCCTGTTCCTCCAAAAGCTGTTCCTTCTGTTGTTGCAGGAGTTGTGTGGTTATTGAACTTCACAGACCTGCTGGGCTTCGGCGGTGAAAACACCGTCCAAAACCAGCAGGGGTGGAGCTCTGCGGCTCAGAGATATGGCTTGCAGAACGAAACCTGCCGGCTGGTTGCCATGGCGCCATGACATCAAGATCATTCCTTATTAATGTCAGTGGGGTCTTTGACTGAAGTTGTTTGTAAGTCAAAGAGGGTGGCGAAACTCTGGGAGGAAATGTTGGCTGCACCGCAGCCGGCTGTGAGAAAGAGAGAGGAGGTCAAGGCAGCAGCCTGACAGACGAGATGACTTGCCCTTAATTACGTGAAAAGAAAATGAAGACAAGAATGCTTCACCTCGAGACTGTTTGGATTTGCTTTTCTTTCCCCCCCCCTTACACTTCATGAGTGAGACGGCAGCACTTCAAAACACTTTGGAAATAAAATTACAGAGTAATGGCATTTACTCTGCCACTGTATCTCTGGGCAGTCAGTAGGTCAGTTCCTCTGATCTGAAGTGAAGCAAGCCCAAGTCTACTTCTCTCACACCAATTCTGATTCTCCAGAGCAGTGCTCACTAGTTAATTCGAGAGTACATAATGAAAGTCCATTGTATTTGTCCATTGTATCAAGTCTTTGTCAGTAGAGCATGAGACTCTTAATCTCAGACCCAGGGGTTATAGTCCCATGTTGAGTGAAAGATTCTTGCACTGTAACAGGTGGACTAGATGATCTGCATGGTCCCTTCCAACTCTACTATTATATGACTCTAAGTTTTCCGCTGATTTCAATAGATCAGTGTTACATGCAATGACTTTTTCTAATACACAATATAACCTTTTAGCCCAAGTCCAGTTTAGAAAAGTTACATGGGGTTAGATGTGTGAACTGCCCTGAGGCCTGCAGGTATAGGGTGGAATATAAATTCAATCATCATCATCATAATCATCTGCCTTTGCAAACCTGGTACTCTCCAGATGTTTTGCACCACAACTCCCATCAGCATTAGCTATGCTGAAGGGAGTTTCAGAACATCTGGAGGGCCCTTGGTTGGCAAAGGCTGGGTTGGGTCCAGACTAATTGGTCCTCACTGAATTAGTTCCCATTGAATTAGCCATGATTCCAGTTCAATTTATTTCAATGGGGACTAACATGCCACTTTGACTTCAGTATGCTGTATATGCAGCTACCTTAGTTTGGATCCAACCCATTGTAACAATCTGTTTGAACTCCTAAACATATTATTTGGAAGTAAGCTGCCCTCATTTAAGTTGCATTTTATTTCAAGGAAGATAATAAGGAGTGTTTGTTAAATATCAATTTTATTTATTTACTAAATTTAACATCCTGCACTTCAGTTTGGTAGCTTTAAGTTATGTAAAAAGCGGGGAAGTCAGCAGGAGTTGATACTAAGAAACCACAAAATATTAAAAGGTTGAGTGAGTAAGACACACTTTGCCTGGCATGGAGGACAAAAGATTCAGCGGTCTCTCTGGAGCAATACCACTAAGGTCCTTTCCCTGATTGCTACTTGGGCTCAGAGAAGGACGTCTGAAGGTGATCTTAATGCTTGATCAGGTTCTTATGGTAGTGATCTGTCCCAAATTTTATATGAGAGACTTGGAAACAAATGGGTTGCAAGTAGGCATGGGGCAGAAGTTTGGTTCAGTTCACTTTTAAATGTGAATCTACCTAATTTGCACTTGTGAAACACTATGCGAATCGAAACACAGCCATTGTTCTAGGCGCATTTTGCAACAGGGAATTTCATTGGTGTGAGCAGTTTCTGAACTGTGGGCGCTATACTGCACCTAAGATTTCAGATTAAAACTGCAGAGTGGAAGGAAAGGAGGACCTTTTCTGCCTCTCCACTTCCAGCTACTCTCTGAAGACTGAAGAAGAGACCCTCTTCAGAATATTATGGGCATGGGCAGGGGAAGGACTAGATCATGTGAAAAATAAACATGATATTTTATCTGCAGTTCATTCATTTTCAGCTTTCTATTCTTGTTATAAAAAATGTGCCTAGACATTCTGTTGTTGTGCCCATAACCTAGGTTTAAGGTGCCATTTAGCTCCTAGCTTTCATATCTCAGTTTCTAACACTGGTGGGAATGTGGAGAACTGAACTTAGGACTGGAAAATTGGGAGAGAAACTGAAATTGACAGATTTGTCCATCTATAGTTGCAAGTGATGCTGTTTAAGAACTGACATAATGTGCACCCAGCCCAGCCCAATTACTGAATATATTTTCTTGACTAACTGATGTTTTAGGGTGACCTTATGTATAAAACATTGCAAAACTCTAATCTGGAGGTTTACCAGAACATGGATAGCAGCAGCCAGCCTATCTCTGCCCATGAGGTGTTGCAGCTGGTGAACCAACTATAGCTGGCGGCAGATGTTTCATATCACCAATGCCACATAGGCATCGAAAGACAGGGCCAGATCTAACAGCGCCACAAACCTGATACGTTAGGGGAAGAGTGACCCCATCCAGAACAACTGAGCATCACCTCCCAGTTTATATAAACAGGGACTAATGTCCATATTGTCTAAACTAGATGTGGTTTTACATGCCTTTTTCTCCTGCGGTCCTTGTATATGGGCATTCTCCAGGCAGAATTGTAAGATTATCTCCTGATGCATCATTAAGCTGACTCTCGAATGCTTCTCAGGGCCTAACTACACATTATATTAGCTACATAGCTGTGTCGCTAAGTGCAGGATTGTATTTTGAACATTAATTGCCAGTGCAGGAGACCTTGTTGAGTTTAGGATCCTTCAGTAGGGGATAGTGAAAACAAAACAAAACAAAACAAAACAAAACAAAACAAAACAAAACAACAAAACAAAACAAAACAAAACAAAACAAAAAACTTTCATTCTATCCAGATTGCTCCTGCAATTTGCAGTTAAAAAATGGTA